CATGATCTCAGGGTCCTGAGATTGAGCCCCACGTCGAGCTCCACACTGGGTGTGGAGCCTGCTTGAGATTCTCTCTCTCCCTTTGCCCCTCCCACTCTCTCTCAAAAAATAAATACATAAAAATTTTAAAAATTAATAATAAAGACAGCAGCCTGAGGCCTGCTATGTTAACTCTTTTCTGCACAGGTACCAAGTTCTCCCAACCCTAGATTATATAAATGCTTATGTATAGGTGGGTTTCCCATTTAAAAAGCTTTTATTTTCCTATTTAAAGATTTAAGCTATCTAAGGCTTATTTTTTTCTATTTCAATATTAATAGTTGCTTCTTGGATAAGCAATTAATATTTTTTCTTGCTTTCTGTTTTTTTTAAACACTCAGGTTACCTACAAAATATATGTATTTTTTTTATAATTGGAAAAATACAAAAATACAACTTCCATTGAAATTAAAATTTTATTTTCTGATTTCAAAATAAAAATTTGTGTCTTGAAAACAATAGTTATACTCTCTTAGGTTTTCCTTCATATTGAAGTACTCTGTCAGCAATTTTATTCTCAATGAAAATTTTTGTGAGTTAATGCTTTAACACCTGTGTTACACCTGAGTAAAGAGTATTAGTCTACAGGGGCACCTGGGTGGCTCACTCGGTTAAGTGCCTTCATCTAGGGTCATGATCCCCGGTCCTGGGATCGAGCCCCGACACGGGGAGCCTGCTTCTCCCTCTCCTGCTTCCCCTACTTGTGCTCACTCTCTCTCTCTCTCAAATAAACAAATAAAATCTTTAAAAATATATATTAAAAAAAAGAATATTAGTCTACAGGAAGTCATTATGTAACAATTCACCTGTGCTTGACTACCACAGAAAATGCATACATGCTTAGAGTTGAAAAGAAGATGATTAACAGTAAAGTTTGGCTCTCAAGAGAATCCTGAGAACAAGTTGCTTCTAATACTTGCTTTATCAATGAAAATATTATGTAGGTGATAGTTAAGTGATCCACTTGTTCAGTATAGGCCTAATCCTATCAATGACTGAACTAATCACATCTTAGAGAAACATTGACTTTTTTACTACTGGAAGTCTTTAACATGAAACAGCTAATAACAGGACCTCTATAAGGAAAACAGATAATCTGAAAGTTGCAGGAAATATCAAGGTAAAGCTTATACTCTAAATATACATACAAACATCTCTATACATAAAAATTATTAAATATACTCTCCTGTAATACGAAGTGTTTTACATCAAAAACATAAGTTTTTAATATTTACATTTATGCATTTTTAGCCTGAGAGTAAACACAAGGTTCTGGAGCAGAGATCAGAGTTATTATTACTTATACCAAGAAATGTATCACTTTTCCCACACCTAATACGCCACAGGCATCATAACAAGAGCCAGTTGGTTAGGCCGGTCCATACAGGGGTTGAACCACAGGAAAGGTCCCCAAAAGTATGAATCTGGGAATATGTATATTATAGTTGCCCAACTGCTACCTTTCCCTGAGAAAGGTAGGAAAAAAGCTAATCTTCCTAATGTAAGTAAATTCTCCTTAGAAAAGGGAAGGTCTTAGAGTTCTTACCCTTTGGAATGTAAATAAACGTCTCCCAAGGGAAGATTAACTTCACACGGTTTACAATCTCAATCTTGAATGTCTCCCAGGCTCTGAGTTTTATAACCCTTGGAAAAAAGAACAAACTTCCTGGGCATTCTCTAACAATCTAATCTCTTAACAATCTTTTAACTTCCAAATCTTGCCCTTTAACCCAGGTTCTAGTTTTCTTGGCTTACAAAGCTGTGACCATGCAGAAACATGAAAATATACACTTCTTGAAACTATACAGTAAAACAAACCAAAACATTTACATTCACAGCTCCTGTTAATATCGGACACCTCCTAAAATATTGGCTTTCACACCCTTTCTGGAGAGCCCTGGGAATTCCTCAGAGGTACCCCAGAAGCCTCTTTTCAGAGGGCCATTTAGAGGTGCAGAGTGAGCAGGGCTCTGAAACCCCAATTCCTGCTTCAAATACAGCCTATCTGCTCTCAAAATTTGGGCTTCCAGTTATGTTTTTTGAAGATGAGGCTCTACCAAAAAAACAAACAAACAAAAAAAATTGAAATCCATTGGGAGAAAAAAAAAACAAAAAATCTTAGGCAACCTAAATAAAATAAAAACCTGTCTTATAGAAACAGACATGGTTCCATTTACATTTACACTTAAATTTCCTTGGCTTGGTGCTCTTACTTGCATTAATGTGAAACCTATAAAACACACACCACCACAAAGTTAACTGATTATTACTGGGGCTCCCCATATAGTTCACAGGTACTCAGAAAGTTCTTGATGTTCTGTCTGTTGATGTCCTATGTATACAATGCCATTTGAAAAAAGTACCTGAACACTTCCATGAAAGCACTGCCCTATCCAGTATCCTGTTTTCTACTGCTGATCCTCCCTAAACAGTGCTGTAATTCTCTTTTGGGGGGAACCCAAACCTCTGTTGCTCACAAAAACAAGAAGTGCCCTTTTCTCTCCACAGGACTGAGACTTCAGGCAGCAGTCACCATACTCTCATATCCACCATCCCAGTTCCTCTCTTTTCTACTTCCATGTAACCCAACATAAAACTTCATCCCCCTCCGCCTCACCTCTCTTCCCCTGAACTCACCACCATACAAATAAATTCAATACAAATAGATGCCTCAGACCCACCAGTTCAGGCACCCAGAATGCAATTCCCATGCTAACAAATGGGAAGATTCTAGCGACATTTATAAAAATTCAATATTAAGGTTATATGTGATAATCTCTAAATCTAAAATAATATGCTATACAGCACTTTCAAAATTTTACAATGTTTATTTATCTATTGCATTTTTCAAAGGGCAGACTGGGTGCATCAGTCGGCTAAGCGTCTGCCTTTGGATCAGGTCATGCATGATCCCAGGGTCCTGGTCAGGCTCCCTGATCAGTGGGGAGTCTGCTTCTCCCTCTGCCCTTCCTCCCCACTCATGCCCTCTCTCTCTCTCAAATAAATAAATAAAAATCTTAAAAAAAAAAAAAAAAGGACAGACTGATTGCCAATTTATTCATCTTTACTTAGGGGGAAAAAAAATCTCCTGGGATTCAAGAAGCCTGAGTTCTGACTGCACCTCTGCTTGTTATGTGAATTTAAGCAAGTCACTTAACTTCTCTTGGCCTATTTCTCATCTCTAAAAAGGCAAATGGCCTATTCTCAGAAGGGATCCAAGTGGAATCTGGAGTTTTCATATAATTATTAAGGATTAACTCTCCCTCAACCCTCATACATACCTGCAAACCTGATGAAGGGCACACTGTCATATATAATCTGTCAAAATTTTGCACCTTATTTCTTCCCTTCCCCCATTTTTTTAAAGATTTTATTTATTTATTTGACAGAGAGAGACACAGCTGGAGAGGGAACACAAGCAGGGGGAGTGGGAGAGGAAGAAGCAGGCTCAATTGAGCGGGGCTCAATCCCAGAACCCTGGGATCATGACCTGAGCTGAAGGCAGACGCTTAACGACTGAGCCACCCAGGCGCCCCCCCTTCCCCCATTTCTAATGCAAGTTCGTATGTGTAGACATATGAACAAGACATCACTACAAGGAAGAACATTCTAGAAGGGTAAGCCAAGTAAAAAGACAATACTGTATTTTAATCAATTCTGCAATCATTTGCCAGTTATAAAAAAAAATCAACAAAGGTAATTTTGGTCCCCACCACCCTCATTTTTCTGCTACCTAAAGTAGATTGGTTGATGGTATAAAAGGTAAGACAAGTGAGACTCGCTGAACGATAATGATGTGACCGACCCAACCGTTCATTCGATAAATATTTGAGTGCCCAATTATCAGGCATTAAGCTAAGCACCAAAGACAACGGCCAAAAGCTAAATTTTTGGCCAAGACAGAAATACACACTAAAGTGGATAATCTGGGGTCCTCACCCCTTAACTGCATCACTAAGCCTTGATGGCATTATCCTGACTTGATCGATTCTACAGCTGTGTCTAAAGGAGAAATTAGATGAACAGAATTCCCTCAGAATAAATAACAGAAAGCCATTTGTGTCTCCACTCCTCAAGGAGGATGCAAGCTGAGAAGACAACACACTTCAGCTGGCCTTGTCACGCCGCAGGTCATACACACCTGCAAGGTGTATAGGCTGACAAGCATAGGTCCGGGCCACCCGCCGGGCTGTGATTTCAGGAGTCCTAAAGTTCTTTAAGATTCTGTTTCCCACGAGCTGATCTGACGAGTCAGAGTGGACTACCATTCCCACACTCTGAGGGAGTAAAGAAAGTTCTATAAAACGGTAGTAAATTTAAGCCACATCTTCTAAATAAAATCCTGGGACAGGTGTCTGGCACAAACGCGTGTTTTATTAGACATGAGGTGTCATGCTTGGATTAGCACATTTTTCTTTATAACCAAACGTCTGTGAAACAGTCAAGATTTTCAGAGCTTTCGTCAGTGTTTTCTTTGAAAATCAGCATCTCTGCCTCAGAGCCACCTCCCTAACCCGCTTCCATTTAACAAGAACAAGGAAGGGAGTAAAGTCCGACATTAGTTAGCACAGCCTCTCCTCCCAGTTCTGCAGAGCTTACTCTGAAATCCTTTCTGAAATGCGGCCGGGTGCACCTTTTCAAAGTGAGTTAAACTCGGGAGACGAGACAGGGTAGGGGTAAGGGACAGAGGCGAGGCGTCCGCCCAGTACGACCGCGCAGGGGCGACCTCTCGGCCCCCGGTCCGGACGCCGAGCAAGGCGACCCCGGGGCGGCCGGAGCGCGGGGCCAGGCCGGCCGCGGGGCCACCGAGCGAGGGCTCCGAGAGGCGGGAAAGGCCAAAGGGTGGGCTGCGGGGGCAGGAGACACTTCGGAAAGCGCGGGCGCTCGCCCTATGGCGCCGCCCGAGAGGGAGACTGGGGCCGGGGTCCCCTTCGCCGCCCGGACCGCGTCTCGGAGGGTACCTGACTGCGCGCGGCCGGTCCACAAAGCCCTCCCGCCGCCCGGGCAGAAGAGAAGCCCGGTTCTCCGCAGAGCCACGACCCTCGCCACCGTCGCCAGCATCTCGCGCCTCTCAGATATCCTAGGTCCCGGCGTGAGGGAAAAGCGCAGCGCGCGCGCCGCCCACCGCCACAGGGGGCGCCCGCGAGCACTTCAGGCCCCGCCCCCCGCCTACTGGGCGGGGCCCCGCCGGGCACCGTTATCCCGGCAGTGCTTTCTGGGCCGTGCTTTCCGGGTCGCGCCTTCCAGTCCGCGCAGTCGTCTGGTCAGTCGGTCCCGAGCAGGCACCGCAAGACCATAAAAGCCTTTGCTGGAGCCGAGTGTTCGGCTTTTGTCCTTTTTCTATCTTTACTTAAACCCGCTTAATCTCTACCCAATTCGGTAACCCACTTCTACCCTGCGCCTGACGGAACCTTTGTGAGGCCGGAACCGATATGCTATACCGCGCTGGTGGCCAGGGGACTGTTTTGGCAGAGGATCACCGAGTCTGTGAGAAGGGTTGGTCGGGACAGTTCCGGCGGGAGAACGCGGCAGCGAGGTCTTCGTCTTCGTCTCCTGATATGCACCGACAGAATTTTCGACCCCCGACTCCTCCCTACCCCGGCGCGGGTGTAGGAGGTTGGGGTAGCGGGAGCAGCTTCCGGGGTACCCCGGGCGGAGGCGGACCGCGGCCGCCCTCCCCTCGGGACGGGTACGGGAGTCCGCATCACACGCCGCCGTACGGGCCCCGGTCTAGGCCCTACGGGAGCAGCCACTCTCCGCGACACGGCGGCAGCTTCCCGGGGGGCCGATTCGGGTCTCCGTCCCCTGGCGGCTACCCTGGCTCCTACTCCAAGTCCCCCGCGGGGTCCCAGCAGCATTTCGGCTACTCCCCAGGGCAGCAGCAGACCCACCCCCAGGTAATAATAGCCAGCGTTTGCCGAGCTCTTACTGTATGGCAGGCATGGTACTAATAATAATCCCTTTACATGGATTATTTTGTCTAATCCTCTATGAGGTGAGATACTATTGTTGGCCCTGTTTTGCAGATGAGTAAACTGAGGCTGAGAGAGAAGTTAAGTAACTTACTTTAGGTGACCTTAAGTAGCAGAGCTGTACTTTCTGTTTCTAGAGCCCTCCTGCTTTGAACTGGTACACTGCCATTCCTACACAGATTTCCCTAATTTCCTATCCTTTGCCAGGGACCTTGCCAGTTCGTCTGAGTAAATTATTCTCCGAGGGGTAAAAAAAGCGAATGAATCCCCAGCGTAGAGCTCATCTGAGTTAAAGGGTTACCGACTGGTGCCATTTTCCTTCTACTGGCACGCTTTTTGGGGCAGGGCGGGGTGGGGGGGCGAAGGTGGTGGAGGGGGGAGCTTCAGACTACACTGGCTTGTGCTCCAGGTCTTAAGGAAAAATCGGTGATTTTGGAAGTTTCCCATTCCTCTCAGTGAGAGTGAACACAGGAGACCGAGGGAGTATTTCTGGTGTGTCTAGGATTTCTGTGGTTTAAAACTTGAACGGTTTCCTACTTTTCGTTGTGCTAAACCAACCCCACCCCTTTTGAGTCTGGAGCTAAGTAGATAAAATTTCATAGGATGGAAAGGTTCTTGAAATTTTGAAGTTGTAGGGTTAAAAAAAAGTTTTAATTTCCTTCCAGAAAAAAAGGTGGAAATTTTAAGGAAAATTTGAAACACAATTTATTTCATCACCAGTTGTTAGTTCTGCAGTTATTACATTAGAAATCGAAAAGTATTTGAGCTGACAGTTGGCATGGAATTATTAATACATGAGTATGTCAAATTGGCTTAAATACTTTTACAAACAAAAACACTAGATTAAAGGAAGAATGGACTTTGCATTTGAACATGTTCGGGTTCAAAACACAACTTTTAACTAGCAATGTGATCCCCACTAGCTTTAAAAAATAAGTGCCAATTATCTCTACAAAACATTTTTTTAACTGATGATTTTTTTTCTAAAGGGTTCTCCAAGGACATCTACACCATTTGGATCAGGGCGTGGTAGAGAAAAAAGAATGTCTAATGAGTTGGAAAATTATTTCAAGCCTTCAATGCTTGAAGACCCTTGGGCTGGCCTAGAACCAGTATCTGTAGTGGATATTAACCAACAATACAGCAATACTCAAACATTCACAGGCAAAAAAGGAAGATACTTTTGTTAACATTTCTGAAATTCACCCGGAAGCTTCATGTGTCAGGAACATCTTGGACAAAACTTTTACCCATGTAATTAAGTTGAACCCTAAGATGGTGACTTTGAATAATTAGTTGAGTCTTCTTGGTATTTTTCATCATATCAAGTATTGTTGATATTAGAAAAGACATACAGTAGAATAACTTGCAATATTTAGCTCTTTGAAAGTGCCTACCACATTTTAGAAGATTTACAGTTTCCAGATATTTAAAGTTTATGGTTATATAATGGACATTTGTCTTTCAATGGTTTTCCAATGTTCTAAAATAAAACATTTTGTCTTTCTAGATATATTGTGGTTTTGTCATATGCTAAAGAAGTAGAATTATTAAAATAATGCCTGTAATCACTTGCTTAGAATTCATAGGTAAATATTTTGCATACTACTTTTGAAAATGAAATAAACCATCCTTTGAGCTGTAGACAGTTCTATATTTGTTCACAGGGAAAGAGGGTGAAGGAAGAGAACAGAAAAGAATTCTATTCATATTTATTATAACCATTGTTCTTTGTGCATATTTTATGTAATGCTTTTGTAAATGCATTGAAACTTGATTGAAAGTCACAGAAATCCACTTAAAGGGTATTTATACTTTTTATACTCATTTAACTGGAAAGGGCAATGATAGACCTATTTCTTGCATAGACAGATTAAAGTGTTCTGTATCTGAATTTCTCAACATCTCTCAATATTATGGAGTCATTTTCTCTTGAGAGCCAAGGAAGATGGGTACCAGCAGTCTGAAATCACTTCCTTTGTGAAGAGAACATCTCCCAACACAGTCCATCCCAGGAAAGACAGATTTGTCATGCCTGGATCATGTTTCTGTAGTCCTGAACTAAATAATTGCCCAAGGCAGTGAGGCCTAATTAGCTTGAACTATGAACCTCCCCTATAATGAGATAGGGTCCCATAATCTTCAGCCCCACTAGACCTGCCTGGATTAGAAGAGTGGTTTTCCAAAGGAAGGGCTGCTACGTGTGTATACCTACATTAACTATTTCTCCCCAAATATTTAACCAAACCGAGTCTTCTAACATTCAGGCTTTTTAGATATCTTGAGATCACAACATGATGAAGATAGAGCAGTTAAAATTCTCTTTAAACATTCCCGAAAAGAAACATCTAAAAATGAAATGGTCACACCACCTATTTGAGCCATACTCAGTTCTTATCTGTTAGGTCTCTCACAGAGGCAAAGAAGAAAAGGAGAAGGGAAGGAGTTTAGACTAATAGAAGCTCCACGACAGCCAGGACTATTTCTGCCAATTAAAAGCTGGATGAGTTATTTAACTTCTCTATGCCTCAATTTTTTCATATGTAAAATGAAAATAGTACCCATGTCATAGAGGTGTTGTGTTTGAGGATTAAAAGGGTTTATATGTGTGCAACTGTTAGGCCAGAGCCTGGCACATAGTAAGCACTCAATAAATGGTAGCTATTACTTTCTCATTCACCCCTATAGAGCCTCAGCTGTTAGAATGATGTCTGGGAAATAGTAGGTGCTTAATAAATACTTGGTGAATGAATGCAGACATTCTGATTATAACTACTGTATTGCTCTGCCTTGTCTCCTGTTATAAAAGGGATAGTAAATTAGTAATTTTCCCCAATATTTCTTTATTCTCTAACGTCTTTCCCAGATGATTTGAGGTCATGAAGTATGATGAAAATTAGAGCAAGTAGAATACTTTTGTAACCCTTTCAATGAATTTTATAGGTAAGAAGTACTATCTTTAGGAAATGGCATTTGGAAATAATTATTAAACCACCTCTTAAGAGATCACTGGGTTATTGGCAAAGATGAAAAAGGAAGTCAGAAAGGATTTTGTGCCAATGTATTCATAGCATATTTGGAAGATACACAAATTGTAACAGTTCTAATGGTTTACGTGCATTTTATTTCACTGTAAATGTAATATTAAACAACTAAATGTAAAAATTCTTTCTTGCCAAGTCACCAACATCCACTTCCTGAGCTGACCTTTTCTGACTTTCCTAAGAGAAACTTTTGTCCTCAGGAAAGGTGCATTACTGTTTGGCTCTAGTTGGTAGTGTATTCAGTTATCAAAAGTCTTGCAACATTGATAATTTGGTTTGTTTCTATTATTAGTCTATCTTTGTTTAGCTGAATGAAAGAATTGATCATTCTTTAAAATGAAAATAATTGTTTTTTAGTGTTCCAAAATACACATTTTTATACCTCCATAGAAATGCTATATAACTTAGAAAAATTTTTAGTTAAATATGCATCTTAAATATTCAGGTAACTAAAAACAGAAGTTGGGTCTTCAAACAAGGGTGTGTGTACTTCTGGGAGTCTTCAACCTTCTAAGGGAAATGCAGGCATAGAAAACTTTCCAGATCCTCAGTTCCCATATATATCCCTTTGTTAAAATGATCTGTCTAAAGAACATTTCCATGTTCAGTGGATCATGCCAGTTCTCCTTTTTACCTCTGCCTTTTGATTATCACCCTCTCCCATTTTACATAAGAAAACTATGGCAAGCTTGTATTTTATAAAAATAACCCCAACAATATTTCAGGTCCCACATAGTCTTACAGAACCTTGCACTACCCCATCAAGATGTGAAGTTACATCCCTTTGAACCTGAACAGACCTTTCTGACTGCCCAATTTAAGAAAGTATGGTGGAAGTTTTTTATTATGAGTGAAGTGTGGTCTTAGAAATGGGTTTATTGGCCCATGTGGAGATGTTCAGGATTTAGATATGTTGTCAAGTAGGAAATAGTATAATGACAGTTTTTGTTTAATGGCCTTGCCTTTTTGTTTCCTGACTTCAAAAAACCATTTTTCCTGTGGGTGAATCATGTGAAAGTAAAGCAGAGAGCAAGAACATAACATGAAGGTAAAGTTACCTTATTTTTAG